TTTTTTTTTTAATTTTATGAAATAAAAAACTTTTAAAGCCAAGGAGAATCATAAATTGGAGTGATCACACTCTTCACTTGAAGATAATTCTCCAATGCATGTAACCCTAACTCCCTACCAAATCCGCTCATCTTGTAGCCGCCGTAGGGGCAATCTCGATCGAAAGCGGTGTAGCAGTTGATCCATATCATGCCGGCTCGAATCGATCTTGAAACTCTATTTGCGATGTTTAAATCATTAGTAACGATCCCGGCGGCCAGCCCATATATGGTGTTGTTTGCCTTCTCAATCGCTTCCTCAATCGTCCTGGCCGAAGTCAAGAAGATGGATGATATACCATTAGCTTTATTAATATAAATAATACAATATGATGAGGAATAAAAAACTTTTACTTGAACTTCATGAGAGACATCACCGGCCCGAATATTTCTTCCCTAGCTATCAACATGTCCTCCTAAGCAAACCATCATATTTCAAACTTTCATATCGAGTCATTATTAATATCTTAAGAACTCAAATCACGCCTCATATCGAATACGTAAACTATTGCGAACATAAACTCAATAAGAAATTGTTAGTCACTTTACCTTAACATCGGTGAATATGGTAGGCTCGATATAGTACCCTTTCTTGCCGCAAGCCTTTCCGCCCGTCAAAAGGGTCGCACCATCCCTCTTACCAGACTCTATGTATCGAAGAACCTTCTCAAATTGTTTCTTATCGACCTAACTCAACAACCAAGCAATGAACTTATTAAATAAAGAAAAGAAGGTGAAATTTACAAACCTACCAAACAATTCTTATCTACTTGCATCTCACACCTAAACTTTCACATTTACAACTTATGCTTGAAAGTGCGTATTTAACTTTTAATAAGTGATAATAATGCTATTTTTTTATGTGAAATTAAGATTTGAGTGCTTTCACATATGACCAGACTGTCTCACCTCGCACGATCACACTTAGCATAGATACAAGTAATATACTGCGTACAAGTACACACATTGACAGCTATGCATGTAAATATGAAAGTTTAGGTGTGAGACCTATAAATAAATTAGAATTGAGTGCGAGTTTATTCATAAAGAAGAGAGGAAGATCTAACTTGAGGTCCTTGATGAACATTTGAATCAAAAGGGTCTCCAACCACCCAATCCTTAAGACTTTCATCAATTTTTTTTATGAACTCATCATAAATTCCTTCTTGAACAAAAACTCGAGATCCCGCAATGCAAATTTCGCCCTTTCGATGATCGAAAATTACATAAACAACGAGAATATATGATCAAAACTCACACACACACA